TCACAACGCCAACCTTTATGTTGGAGAATGTCAAGTCGTGCAGTGGTTTCAGCTTGTTTGTCTTCGTCCTGAACAGTATCCTCCGATAGGGCACGTTTTGCCAGTTTAAGGGGAATGTTACGGGTAGTGGGCAAGTTTGAAGTGGAAATATTGTTGAAGACGAGGTGATGCCAACACGAGGTTTGAGGTGTTAGAACAGATGTCAAATTTATACTACTAAATGCAACGATTTGTTGTATATAACTTGAATTTGCTATGTAGCATAATAAAAGTAGAGTTGGTAAGAAGTAAATTGATTTCTTCATTCAGACAGTACGTAATTTTTAAAAGGTGTACAGAAATATCGTTTTATGAAAACATGTATATAAGTATACTGGTCGAGCGGTAAATCCTAAAAATATATATTCATGTAAGCCTTGGCACTTGCGAGAATTGAGGATGGAGGTAATTACTTGGACAATGATAGGGTAGAGATTATTATTTGGATGGTAATTACTTGGAGGTAATTAGATACATAAATAATTGGATATTCAAATTAGTTTGCATCTCATAAGCTGATAAGAAGGTGGCCCAAACACGATTAATCAGGAGATAAAATAGTTCGAGCTAAATTTTGAGGAAGTTTTATTTTCATCTTAATTGCTTTTTAGTTTACATGTTGAGTTGCTTGTATGTAATACACTATTTTGATGCGTGTAAAATATACATACATAATTTTTTTTAAGTTGATGAAGATTTTGTACTCGCTAATTTATTCGAGGGCTCTTGTATTCTTGGCCGATATGTATCTCTGGAACGGATCAATAAATTAACTCCAATGGATAGTGATCCGTGTAGTGTGCATGATTGACAAATGAAAATATTTATTATACATAGCATGTAAATTCGTTAGGGGTTGAGATACATATTCAACAAGCATTCTTGGATATTGTGCATGGTTAAGGGTTTAATACAGTTCGTAGGGGTGAGTCGAGATCCCGACATATGTATCAATCTCATTCAACCTATCTGCAACCTACTGGGTTTTCGCGGGGTAACGTGGTCCATGTGACAGCTTGGCAGCTATCGCATTCTCCCACATATTTTCTGCAGTCGAACTTTACAGGATAGTTTTTTTCGGGTCATGAATTTCATTTTCTTCATAGTTGTCATAAATGTTACCCAACTTGATTTAATCCAGTTGGCAATGTTTGCCCTATTGAACTTCAGATACTCAAAGATTGCTAAACCAAGACAGACCGCTAAACAGGTGAACAGTAGAATGAAAACGGTTTGAATACTGTCGCTTAGTCGGACAACCCGGAAAGACGTGGCATACCGAAATTTCTTACCCTCCCCCAATTTTGCTTCTCTTTCTCGCCTAATAGTCTCATTAAGGGCAACTTGACTAAAAGCCCAGGCGTAAATCCCGGAGTCCGAAAAGAGTTTAAAATACCGCACCATTCTAGATTCCCTAGCAACAAAGAAACCAAATCCTATTGGACGTTCTAAAATGGTTTTCTCGCCACGATACCATTTTTGCGAGGGATAATTTCTCCTCAAAAATTCATAGTACGTGTCAACCTCTCTAGAGGGTCCGGCATAAGCGGATCTGTCACATTGCAAAATTTCCTCCTCAACCATCCGATTTATTTCATGGGCAGTAACGTCGTTAAAAAATCTTAATTTCTTCGGATACCAGCGAATCTTTGGATTCATCATTGAATAAAGTAAACGTTGCAAATGCTGTGGAAATTTTTTCCATTGCAAATCGCCAAGTAAGAATTGAACTGTGAATTTGTAATTCATAATGTGCAGTTTATTGGCTAATGAGGCCAAATTAATTTTGAATTGAGACAAAATTGTGTAACAGAACTCTCCAAGATATTCCGGGAGTGGATTTATAGTCAAATCTACAACGTCGTGCGCATGTGAATACCACCTAGAGTCGAATCTCTCCTGTATTGTTTCGTTATTCAAAGTTGTGCTTAGTTTCTGCTCACACGAAATTTTGTCATAAGTATCGAACCTTTCTCCGGGAAGGGGTGAGTTTAAATTGGTGATAAAAATACTCAAGTAGCAATTACTCTTTAACAGGCCGACAATGAGCCAGGGAACACTTAAGAGTCTGAAGGGAATGAAGGTGTTCAATTTTTTCGGTATTTCGCTAACCTCGTCGATCAGACAACCCAAGAAGTATAAGAAAAGCGTAATCGGATAGAGTTTTTTGTTCTGCTGATAAAATCCTACTGTTACGAGGAAGGACGATAAGAGGAGCATGATAACTGTGACGATCCACACGCTGGCGTCATAAGGTGCTAAATACAGGGAAAACGAGACCCCACTGGATACCAGGTAACACGAGAAGAATGAAAACCCAGGGAACCCTGTTACAACTATTTGGGTGCGAATTACCCAGAGCCCAGTGATAAAACTTTCTAGACGGAAAGACGGGTAGTTGCATAGTTCCGTATGAACGGAATGACATCTTGTTATGCTAAGGTAAGAATGCCTTGTCGCGTTAAGTTTGATTAATGCTGTTGTAATTAAAATTTCTGATAATTCCAATTTATTTCCTGCACGTCCTGTATCTATCCAATTGGATTCATCCAGTGGCGGGTAGTTTGATGGCTCCAACGTTACTACGTCTAAGGACGAGATCGTACAAGCAAAATTTTTCAGAACTGCAACACTTCCAGCAATTTTTTGGTAGCACAATTTCACTTTTTGGTCAGTGAGGAAGAATAAAACTGCAAATTTGACGCGTAACTGAAGTACGGGTGACGAGTAAAGTAATGAATCTGATAAGAATATTTTTGTTTTGGTAGGAATTAAGAGAAAGTATAAATTGTCGGGATAAATATCCAAACTGGTTTCCAGATTTATCTTGAAGTAATGTTTACTCTGAATTCTAATCCAAGTTCCCAATCCTTTTGAGTCAGATGTTGTATAATCTGGCGAAGTTATAGTGACAAAGAGAACGATAATTTCGCAACGCCAACCTTTATTTCGGAGAATGTCAAGTATGACGTGGTGCTAACTTGTTCAGAACCGACGTTCCGAAAAAAATCGTCCGACAGGGAACGTTTCGTCAGTGCGATGGGAATGTCACGGGTAGTTGGAAGGTCCGAGGTGGAAATATTGTTGAAAACGACGTGATGCTGACAAATAGTTTGAGTTGTTATAACGGATGTCAGATTTATGCTAGAAAATGCAACCGTTTGTTGTATAAAAGTTGAATTTAACGTGTAACACAACAAAAGAACAGTTGCAAAGAAGTAAATTGATTTTATCATTGTGATGGTACGTAATTTTTTAAAGGTGAACAGAAATATCGTTTGAAGAATGATGTAGATATGCATGAATCTGGTGGAGCGGAAAATGTTGAGACTATTTATGTAAGCCTGGGAATATGGGATAATTGAGTATTGGAAGTAGTATTTTGTTGGACGTATGTAAGTGCTTATTTCTTGGACTTAAGTAAGGATGGTAATTATGTACATAGTCTCAACTTAAAAAGTGATAGTAGAGAAGACGAGTATGTGAGGTTAGTTTTAAGGAATTTCAAATTTATTTTTATTCCATTGAAAAGCCAGTTAAATTTCAAGTAGAAAACATGTATTAAACTTGAAATTATATTCCTCCTGTGACCATGAAAAATTGGTCACGAGAGGAGAAAGCTCTACCAAAAATACGGCCGCAATTAATTGACAAAGTGTATCATTCCCGGGTCAGAAATTTTTTTGTGACCCTGACACTTCTATGGGACTCAGAACGGACCTTTTCCTCAATTTTAGTGAATATCTGGTGGTGAAGTTGAATGCGGTTCGAAAATGCCAAGGTCAAACCTAAAGTGCAAATGAATTCAAAAATATGGATTTTAATCCAGTTTTTCACGAATTTCGCTGTAAATGTTACTGTGGAGCCCTTCGCAAAGGGCGGCGGCTTTTCACCCAATATGGACTGGTTGAAGGGGTGTTCCTTCTTCACTATGACGTTAATCAAATATATTTTTAAACTATTTCCTCTCCATAATCGAGGAAATTGGGCGATTTTTTCCCAATTCCGCCGATTCCCGCCAAAATCATGAATGCAGCCCGATAGGATAACATTCGACCTCCATTTCGTAATCAACTAACCCTAAGAATATTTAACATATATTCTGCTTCTTTTTTTGTGGAAATATAGTTCCGTCTTAAAGAAATTCCCATCGATACACGGGTTATTTTGTTTGTTTTTTTACCGTACCGCTGGGAGAGGGACGTCGATTTATTGACCTTAGCTTGGGTCTGGGAAATCTATAGCGCGTGACGCTTTCTTCTCTAGAAAGCCTTCATCTTAGGATCATTTTTCAGAGCTCATCTGATTTCTAAAGTTGAAAGGTCATTTGTATGGCCCAAGTCTTCGGCGTCAGACAGAGATTTTGTGCTATTCTGGCGTTCAAAGTTTCGGACATCACTGCAGTCCTCCTTGACCTTGGACCACCGGAACTTTTATGTCATAAATAGTCACTGTCGGTAGGGTTAATTTAATAGGTTGGGCAACCAGATGGTAGTTGCCGTTGAATTACTACACTACATCTAACATTGTGAATTTTTCGTCTCGCGTAAAAAGTGAAAAAACATTGCCACGCGCGTGTAGGTAAGCTCCTCCTACTTTTGACCTAGTGACATCAAGTAAAAACGGTCAGCACCAATGATAGGCACTGAATGTATGCACAAACCGCAACTGACCTTTTAATTTTATGTTGACCGGTTCAAAAACGACGCTCTACTATCACTTTTTATGGCAAGACTATGTATGTAAATTGGTTTTTGCTATCATGAATGTATAAATATAATCACATTGATAGCCTTCTAAAGGTGTCCAAACAAACTTATCAAACAAATTCCTGAAATAAAAACAGTGCTGCTCTTAATTACTCACTATCGTTGTACGACATGTATGTATGTATCCATATATTTGGATAGGTACATACCTACATACACATAAATTGTAGTTCGTTTGAAGCATCATTGTCATAAAAATGGTAAAACGAGCGGAAAAGGAAATTTTGTATTACAAATGTAGATATTATGTATACATATTAATAAATGTTAAGTATTATTTATTCAGGCAAATATGTTAATTTAGCACCGCCTGAATTCCCACCACTGTGCCGTATCCTGCTGATCCAAGGGGGCCAGGTCCAATTTGATCCCGTAAGCGTCGCTCACACTATACAAGTAAATAAATGTATTTTTCCTTTCTATTGGGGGTACTCACGACAGCGTTTTATTTCGCATCTCAACTCATTCAGCAAACTTGGGAAAATCAAAATACTTCTGTCGTGAAGGGATTCGCAAAATAATTCTGTAATTTCTCTTGATGGTGATGGTGAGGATGAATTTACGAAATAATTTTATGAAATAATAGCATGCTCATTTGCTGGGTAAATTTGGGAAAAATATTCATGGCTTTCCAGCAAAATATTTGCGAAATCTCGCAAAATTTGGCAAGTTATGTTGCTATAGTAAATTTACGAGATATGCGAACGTTGACGTGAGTACGCTCATTATATTCAAGAATAACTGTCTTACCCAGTGTACCGAATCGTATTGTATGTTTCGTTTACGACGTTGGTAATTGTATAGTATGGGGTCCTGGGAACGTTGGTAACTCTCCAGTGAGGGGTACCATCAGTAATGGACTCCTGGGTAGTCTAAGGAGTTATATTTTTTAGGGTTATGCTGTTACTGTACGTATGTTGACACGTGGAAGAAATTGGAAATGCGGATTTGAACTATGAAACAGGTAGCTAAATAGCGCCCCACCCGCATGAGTTGAACTCTTTTTTTAAATCTTATCAACCGTTAAATTTAATACTACGTATCCTGACAATATTCAGGTAAAAGCGTCATTGCCATTGTTCAACGTGAAAACTCCAGCGTGTTGATTTAGTCTAATTCTTTCTGATGCGTGTAATATTTATGAATCTTAAACTTACAACTATGCAAGGGTAAGTCGGTGAAGGTCGGCACCTATTCATGATATGGTTCCATTGATTAGAACCTCCCAAGGCGGATTGGAAAATGTAATCAGAACCTAGCGAATGTTTAAATTATTTGTAATTTGTATGTAAAAGTACAAATAAAGCAAGTATTAAATACTTCAGATGGAACTAAATACTTGAGTCTTTCAAGTACGAATTCGAATTAACAAAGTTTCCCGAGCAGAAAACGTTTGTCATTGCAACAAATGTGTATAAATTTCTAATGATGGATATCTAAATTAATATAGTAATTACCATTCAGTTCCAATTTCCAAACTTGTGCTGGATACATGCAATCATGTAAATCGAGATGAGCATGGATTTTATTGTAGTTATTCAAGTCTGATTGGTAGACTTCCATCGCCTATCAAAGTACACATTAAACCATCAGTTAAAAAGTAGCAGATTAGTTCAACCAAGGCTAAATATTTGCAGTACACACTGATTTTACATTAATGCCAGCACCTGGTCTTACCCGTGCAGATATGTAACTTATGAGCTGAAAAATCATCCCAGGTTCGGGCCAATGCTCAGTGGTTGTGCTTAGGGGAGTGGTCGTTGGAGCAGTTGTTGCGGGTGTGGTTGTTGGGTCTCTGTAGTTTAAAATTGTTTTATTTATATCGATTATTTTAATAATTTAGTTGCATTTTGTACTTTTGGTACTTTTGTAAAGCCACAATTATACAAATTTACAATTCCTTGAATACATGAAGATATTAATATTTAAACAAAATGGGTCGTTGATTCTAATAATTTTGAGAAATTAGCTTTGTATTTTGCCAGAGAGGGTGGCGAGAAACTTTATCCCAACCCATTTTATAGTTATCTCTATTTGTGTCATACATACATAGTTCTTAAACCATTCTTGTAAACGGATAATTATTAAAACTCGAACAAGTTTAAAATAAAATAAATTAAAAGGTAGCATTAAACTTACTGGGCGGCGATTGCGCAAGAAGCACCAGAGCAATCTAAAAGTTTGGCTTCGGAACATGTCGAAAAATGGAGCAACAGTAATGCCGCAAGGAAATTTTTAGGTCGCATCTCCCCTATTTCTTAATCTACTTCTTTAGCGTAATAAATAATTTCATCAATGCTGTCACACTTACTGCAACAATTTTACTGACTCTTTAACCATGGTCTAACAACGATCTAATTACGCCCGGGCAAACTGTTTAACCTAAATCTGTATTATGTAAATATTTGTGTGATGTAGCTGTATCTGTAAGTGTAATTGCATTACATATTTAATATGATGTCCTCCATGCAATATGATAAGGCTTAGTACTTGAATTTTGTCAGTTTTATCGAGTCGTGCTCAATTACCCTTTACAATTCAAGTCATGCGTTACCTGATAAACACAATAAACAATAAGAGTAGTAGATGATAAAATTTAATCAAGGTTATTATGTAAAATATATTTATGTCCTATATAATTATATAATTATGTGTGTATAAAACAAATTAACAACTTTAACATGCAGGTTTTATCGCAATTTTTAAAAGTTTAGGAAAGAAACATTTGATTAAGCAATGCTCAAGAACAAGCAAAATTTATGCTTAGAATATGTATTTAGCAATGCATGATTCATTGTATGTATACATGTATAAATTCATTAAAAAATGGTGTCAGTCAGCAGGTGGGGCCAAAAAAGTGATTTTGGACCGGCAGAGTATCGATCTCTGTACCTCTCACATGCTAAGCGAGCGCTCTACCATCTGAGCTACGGGCCCTTCTTGATAAGCCGAATCAAACAAGTAACATTTATCTTTAAACAATGTAATAAATGTGATTGAGTTTAAAATCGAAAGTTGCATATTCAACTACATATAAACAACATTTACTTAGGCGTGTCTTTATTGAGTCACAAGTGATCTAAATATGTACGTTGATTGGTATGGAGCAGACTGGTTGCAAGGAGGAATTATAACATTGATAAAACATGATCTGCATGTACACGTGGGACCGTACAAGGTTAATGTGGCCAATTCACATATTTAACTATGCAGAAATTGTTTCTCATTTTAACGTTGCACGTATGTCAACAAAGATATGATAAGCAAGATGGGATTTTTTAAAATAATTTGTACCCATTATACTTGTCGAGTCCCTAGCGGCGTGAATAAAACACAAAAATTATGCATCTCAAATAGAAATATTTCTGTTTGTGTTCATGGTTTTGTGCATGATTTCATGCATGATTTTGTATGATTTTGACGCTGTTAATGACAAGAACGCGTTCTATGAATATTTTAAACGTTATATATTAAAAATCCTTGCGAAATCCATCTTGCATAAGTCCAATCTCTCCTCTATCATGTCATATTCTACGTTTTGTCAGTGTGCGGGAGACGCCAAGGGTAGTTGACGGGTTGGAGATAGGGCATGCAATACCGGTACCATTTTTCAAAACCGGTATTCGGTATTTCCGGTATTGAGACCTTCGGTAATACCGGTATTACCGACACCATATGTTAAATTTGTTAAACATGCTAATATCAATGAAAATCCTCTACAAAGCAATTGCATACGTTTAAGACAATTAAATGCTTGTGTGTAATCATATGAATAAGTATTATTACAGAAGTGAACATAAATATTCTTAAAAACTTTGGTTATATGCCTAACTTCGTAATAATTTATCAGAGCTCACGGGCAAAAAATTACCCCCGACTCAAATTTTACTCATTGTATTCCCCAAACTTCTGATTATTTACTCCGTATCGCAGCCTTTTCAAATTCATCCACTTTTAAACGTGTGCGCTTAAACTAAAACTATTGAACTGTTTTAACATCATCGTCATTTCGTGTGTGCGCTCATAACTGCCTAAGGTATTTTCAGCGATTTTAAAAATTTGAGCCGTGAAATAGTTTTTAGTTGACAGTTTTTAGTTGTCTATTTGTCAAAGTACGGTAGCATATTTTTGGCGTTGCTACCATATCAGCAACAGTTATTCAGCCGTTGAAAATTTCGTATTTTCTCTCAGAAACTCAAAACCTACAGTGTTTTACATCTAAAACATTTTTGCTAGAAAACTTGAGCTTGTCGGAAATTTTTCTAGAGGACAATCTGCATGACAAAACGATTCGATGTTCTATTTGGGGAATTAATTTCTTCAGCATTTTTTTACACAATTGTTTGAAACTTTAAAAATAAATGCATACTGCATACATATGCAGTAATTAAAATAATTAAAAATTAATTCAAATATATGATTGGTACGAAAAATGCATTGATTATAATCCGCCAAATTGTGACCATCAACTTGTTATTTTAATTTTGGATTTAATAAGTGGAATTTGGTTAACTGAAAGTTAGTCTCAATATGTAAAATTTATGAAGTGAATACCGGTATTGGTTAGCTCAAGACCGGTATTCGGTATTCGGTAATACCGGTTAATACCGGTACTGGAATACCGGTATTGCATGCCCTAGTTGGAGATGAAAATATTGGCGAAGACGAGACAAGATGTTTGAGGTGTTAGAACAGGTGTCAAATTTATGCTATGTGGATAATGCTACCGCAGGTTCTGTAAAAATTGAATCTGCCAACAGACGAAAAAGTATATAGAAATGCATAAATTTATTTGGTCATTCGGATAGTGTGTCACTTTCCACTGTGTCATATTACATGTGGCAAAACATGGAATATTTTAAATTAACAATCTTAACAATATTGAACAATAATATGCTTTTGGGGTTCTTTTTAAATTTTTAGAAATTATTAATTTTGACAAACTTATATTCTTCTTGGAGTTTTGCATTTATGAAACATCTTCCAATAATGTTAGCTTAGCCACCACCTTAATTTCATGATTATCAGCATGATATGTAAACTAATTTGCATGTCCAAAAAAAAATATTAATACATTCATAAATAAATACATACAGATAAATATCCAATTACCTTTAAGCCATTAGCATCCAAATAATTACCTGTACATATCCTCAATTATCTCAAATGCCAAGTCTAAAATAGTACCAACATTTGCCACTCGACGACTGCACATATTTGTGAAACGATATTTCGGTACCTATACTTTCCAAAAACTTTCCAAATTCCACAATGATTCAATCAATTTACGCCATTGAAACTTTTATTTTACTTTGTTACATAGTAAATTCAAGTTTTGTACAATCCACGGTACAATTATCTAGCATAAATTTGATATTTGTACTAGACATGCACCGAGTACCCAAAAAGTCGACTCGGCCGAGCACCGAGTACTCGGCTATATTTTTGCCGAGTACTCGTTTCTGCTCATTTGCCGAGCACCGAGCAAAGCTCGGCAATCGATTATCGAGCAAGGCTCGGCCACCGAGTAAATTGTCAAAAAGATCATCAATTAAAACAATATAACCAGCGGCTGCTTAACAATTAAAGGCGACCTTTATTATTCTCAAAACGGGAAACTGTTTATTTTATAAAGTTTTCAAAATTTCATTTAAATTAACCAATTTGTTAAACAAATAATCCAACATCAAAGTATGTACACAACATATTTGTATACAGACGTGGTTAATATAAGAATTCGAAAAGTGACAAGCTGTAGTTTAAAAAAATTAATGTTTCAGCAATTGTCGGTGAAAGTTTTGATCGATTATCTTCGTAAGCTAACCCTGTTTCAGATAATAAGCGCTCAAGACGCTACTAGCAGGTGCACTTTATATTTATAAACGTGGGTCGAGAGAATTAGAATTAAAAAATGGGTCAGTTTTTAAAGTAAGTAAATAACTGTGCCGTGTAAGTTCCGGGGAACGTGGTACTGGATGTATATAAAAATTTAAGAAATACTCGGCCGAGCACGCAAAATTACTCGGCCGAGTCCGAGTAGCGACAAGATGGCCAAAACCTGCCGAGTACTCGGCAGCGCCGAGTACTCGGTGCATGTCTAATTTGTACTAACACCTCAAACCGTTTGTCGATATCGCCTCGTCTTCAACAATATTTCTAGCTCGGACCTTCCAACTACCCGTGACATCCCCCTCACACTGACGAAACGTGCCCTATCGGACGGGTTTACTCGTAACGACGAAAAACATGCCGAAACTTTCGTCAGACTTGACATCCTCGAAAACAAAGGTTGGCGTTGCGAAATCGTTATTCTTTTCGTGACAATAAACTCGCCAAACTATACAACGTTTCACTCAAAAGCAGTAGGACTTTGGATTAAAATGCAGAGCAGGCAATATTTAAAGTTAAATCAGGAAACAAAGCTTGACATCTACCCCGACAATTTGTACTTTCTCTTAATTCCTACCAACACTGAAGTGTTCGTGTCAGAGTTACTAATTTACTCGGTATCCCCCAGCTTTCAGATTCAACGACCCGTCAAATTTGCAGTCTTATTATTTCTGCCTGACCATAAAGTGAAATTGTGTTACGAAAAAAATGTAGGGATTGTCCCAGTTTTGACGAATTTTGACTGCACTATCTCCTCGATAGACGTTGTACCCTTCAGCCCATCAAACTACCCGTTACTGGGGGAAAATAACTGGATTGATGACACACATGTGAAAGCAAAATTTGGATTATCCGAAATTTTAATTACAACTGCACTAATCAAACTAAATGCGACAAGACATTCCCAGAGTCTCAATTTTGAATGTTATTCCGTTCTCATAGAATCATGTTACCACCCGTCGTTTCGTCTGGAAAATTTTATCAGTAGGGGAGTTCATAGAAAAATTGTCATAACGGCATTTCCAGGATTCTCATTCCTTTCGTGCTACCTGGTATCCAATGGGGTCTCCTTTTCTTTGTATTTAGCACCTTTCGATCTAAACGTATGGATTCTCACGGTTATCATGTTGCTCTTATCTTCTTCCCTCGTATCTCTGGGGTTTTACGTTTGGAACAAAAAACTTTACCCGATTACAATTTTCTTACACTTTTTTGCTTGTCTAATCGACGAGGTGAGTAAACTACCCGTCAAACTGGACACCTTCCTTCCCTTCAGGTTCTTAAGTATTCCATGGCTATTTTTCGGACTCGTGATAAACAATTGTTATCTGAGTATCTTTATCACCAATTTAAACTCCCCGCTTCCCGGGGAAAGGGTAAACACGTATGAAAAATCTCATGTCAGAAAGAGCCCAAGATAATCGTAAATTACGCCATGATAGAGGAGAGATTTGACTTAAGGTGGATCCCACAAGGCTACGTCATGGCAAATTTA